GACATTGATAAATCAGCCCATTTACAATTCTACTGTGCATAAGAACATGTTGATATCCCCCCTTTGGGAATGGCCTAAAGACACTTCTGTCAGTAGCACTGCCCTGGGGGGGGGGGGTCCAGGAAAGACCTGATCAGAAACAATTGGGCAATAGAAATAATACTGTATATAACATGGTAGGAACAACACTTACTAGTCAACAACATATCGGACAGCCGGGGAGAAAGTGGCTTGGCTACCCCATGAAGATTCCTCCCACACTGCCCGCTCTTCAAGCTTACAACACCAGATGCTCAGGCTGAAGAGCAAGAGGAAGACCAGAGCGACGCTGGGGTGACGCTAGGGCGACCCTGTGGTAAACAACCTCAAAACACATCACATTTCTCTTCTTCAGGCCGCTCGCCTGGCTGCAGACAGATGATGTATCTCCCAGTGACGCCCACCGGTATCACCAGAAGGGAAAAGTAATTCGCGCCGGAGCCATCTTATGATACCAACTTAGCTAAAGTGAGCCACTGTCAAGCAGAGATTTTATCACACTTACGTATTTTATTACACTTACGTAAAGAAAACTACCCGGACTAGTCGCTCGACTTGTTCAGGTACCCACCAAGCCTCGACAACCATTTTTACTTGCTTGTTTTTATTTTATTACTTTTTAGTTGTTGTTTGCTTCTGTCCAATTTAACGGCCTACTAGGCTTGAATACATCATGTCGAAGGTGGGGATTCTTGCTCGTACTAAGTTCTAGTTTTTAGTTTGTTTTGAATTGCTTTTGGGGGGGGGGGGGTTAAGGCTGAAAACCCCAGAGGAAGTAACTTCCGCACAGTTTTCTTCTTCTCCTCGTTCAACTCTAGATGGACATTCCAAACACGGCAGTAAAACTGAAGAAAGAAACTGAAGTGGCGGACCGAAGAATGATTGTGTCGAAACCAAGGACCCTCCTTGGACCCTTCTATACCCTCCTTGGTCGAAACACACAGGGGCTCAGTTGTTTGGGGTGAACATTGAAAGTGATATATTAGTTCCTATCATAGGGCATGCAAACGAGGAGTTCGTTCCTTTGCTGGTTGAAGACATACTTAAGACTTAATAGACCATAATATAAAACGTAAAAATGCACAGCTAATATATTTATACTTTGGACTTAACACACGATAAGAGTCAATAAGACGTACAAAATGCATTGCTAATATACTTTATTGATCCATTCCAAATACCTTTACAAACATTTGCATAGTCACGCAGTGTATGATGTGCGAGGATAAAAGAACATGACATAGAAATAACACAATGAGAAAAGAAAAGGGACAAACATCTTCAGTGGCCTAGGATACGAGGGTGAGGTTGAAACTAAGAGGGATTACATCAAGAATATTACATTAAACGATGATAAATGAAGCTGCACTTATAGCATTGAGTAAAGCAGTCGTAATAAAATTGTATATTATTATATTGATGCAAACAAAGTTAAACGGTGCTGTGAACAGGTATGCTATGTGTGGGTATAGCACCCTTTTGAATACAGAAATTAAGAGCCTCCCAATCAAATGATAAGGCTTAGCCAGAAGGGTGGAAAACAATGAAACAGTCGCCTCTATTGCAGTCCAAAATGGAACAATTCAAGTTGGTACCGTATGGGATTAACGCCCTCTTCGACACCGATTAGGCTATTTAAGAGAAGGGACCGGCAAATGTAAAATAATCTATCTCTGATATGACAAAGCCAAGGAGTTCCAAAACACTCGTCAACTTTTAAAAAATGTCAGATTGGGTTTTGAACAAGTTCCATACACACCATAGCCAAGCCTGATACCAACAGAGGCAATGCCACGCTGCTCTTAGAAAAGGAAGACAATGAAAAGGAATAACTGAAAAATAGGAAAGACAATGCACATCTCCATCATCCAGGAAAATCTTTTTGGTTTTTCAACGAAATATACGTCATGTATTGCCAAAAACATAAAATTGGTTCATTTTTTAAAAGTGCTGTTAGATCAAAGAAAATCAGCAGATTATAAAGATCATACAGCAATAAAAGAACAAAACTGCAACAAGGTAATTACACAAATGGCAAACAGATGTCTATATTATAATACTTAAGCAATATAATACATACTATGTACAAAAATGAAAGACGCTGAGCTAAAACAGTGGAGACTGATTGTGATGACTGTAAATATGTCTTATGCCCCTTGATGGTAACAAACAAAAGGCTTCCTTAGATTTTTAAAATAATTTTGGTGCTTTTACACCCCCATTGACACAATGTAGATCATCTAGTAGGCAGGTTTCCAACCCTACTGTCAGGGCCAACCCAGGTAGGGAGGGATACAACATCCCTGTAGAAAGATCAAGATACACGATAAAAATTTCTCCCTACTCTGGAATCAAACTCAGGTCTCCTGCATGCAACAGCAAAGTGCCTAACTGCTACACCACATGCACTGGTCAGACTTCATTGACCCTGCCTGCCAAGGCTAACACAAGGTGAGCGGTGTGCAGTTGTACTGTGCAGCGTCTCATCAGACAGATAGCCATACTAGTCACATGAGAAGAAACTCAAAACGGATCAAAATGATTTCCTTGAGAGAGAGTGTGAGAGTAAACACTACTGTGAAGATGCAAGATTTAGAGACAATGAAGAAATCCATCCTTTTCGTTTATTTTACCTTAGTAAGAGCGTAAATATCATTTCTAAAACACAAGTTTTGACCTGAAAGTTAGACCAGAGAAGAAAAAACATTAGGAAACCATACAACAAAGCAAATTTTACACATGTTTATTGAAGCATGGACAAACATACAAGTTATTCCTACATCAGAGAGGGAACATTAGTATGTAAGACATGGTGTTGCGTGTCAGTCAAAAGTCTATCATCAGCTCAATTCAGAGCTCCCAACACTGACTGACTGACTGGGGTCCACACAGAAAATTTTCCCTAGACAAAAAACATGTAATAACAACTTTCAATTTTTTTTTCCAGTGAAGTCTCTGGAACTGAGTATTACAGAAGGCAACCGACAACAGCAACCATGTAGATCAGGTGTATCTCCAGCTAAAAGCATACTCAACAATCCATGTTTTAAAAAAAATAACTCGTAATTGTTCACATCATGTGAAAATATTAGGACTACATAGTTGTAATTATCTTGTGAAAAGATTATGTACCACACGTTTGTACTGTCTATTTATAAACCTTTTATTATAATGCGATTTTCCTTGTTCCACATGTCTCCGTTTCAGACTGATCTGTACAGACTGAATCTGAAATAGAAGTTGGCGAAACCTTATAAAGCCTTCTTATTCCTAATTCAGCAATTACGACCTCCTTGCAATTGTTAGTTTGTTGCAAATTTATCTGTACTAAACTCTACTGGTGGGTGGGTGGCGAGTGCTCTGGTGTGGTTTGCTCCTTCTTTCCTATCAAATATCTATCGTTCTTATCTCACCTCCTTCTTTTCTGTGTTTGTTACTCTCTTGTAACGCCACTAAACCTCAGCATTTATATGACCTAATTGTGTTGCAAGTAGCGTAAAACTGTTACATGTATTAAAACTAAAACGAACTCATCTGCTACCAGCATTGCATATCACAAAACTCTGTGTCAGTGTCAGACATGGAATACAAATCTCTACCTACATTCATAGACCAGCTCTGTCGCATAAGGAACCCTTCACACAAGAGTCATACCCAATGATACACTATGCAATTCCAAAAGAAAAGCAGCACCTGCAATATGTATACTTACACTATCGCTAAGGACACTTACAATGTCATAAAAACAAAAGCAAAGATATAACATCACATGATTTGCAAAATGTATGTAGAGCATGCAGAAGAACCTTCTAGAGAAGTATATCCAACTGTTCAGCAAAAGCCTTGAAAAGCTATGTCAGATGTGGATATCTGTTCATAGAGAAGATTTTACACTAAGAGATGGGTGGTCAGTGGGCACCCTGGTGGGGTATGTATAGTATCTTCTGTCTCTTCAACAACATTATTTATTATCCTAATCTTTTCCCCATTCCTGGTGAAATGCAGGCTTTATCAAGGAAATTCCTTATAAAAGACACTGCAACTCAACACTGAATCAGCAGGGATGGCACATCGAGATAGATCAAATTATTTGAATGGGAGTAAAATATCAACCGTATGAAGACCTTTGGACTTAAATGAAAAGGTGCAAAATAAAGTGGTGTGTACAAACCTCATGATTATCTGGACGGGCCAAGACTATGCTTTAGGGAACAGCAGAGCAAGGAACATGAAAAGACAGACAGAGGAAATTAGAAAATTATGGGAAGATAGCATAACAAAGTGGACTGGCAGCGACTGCGTGACATCATACTGCAGAAAGCTGAGTGGAACATCCAGCATGGTTGTAAAATCTACAGTAGTGCCCCAACAGTTAGCTAGACTACAGTATAAGTGAAGGGGAAGTTAAAGATATCAAAGCCAAGTTCCAGGCCAGATCTTGTTGTGGTACATCTCCTTTCTGAAATATTTTTATATTGAAAAACATGCTTACTATCAGATGAATTCCCTGAGTGTGGAATAATGTACATTACATGACACCTGATATAACTGTTGCGTAACGTATCAGGATTTAGACAGTACCCTTCTTTTACTCAGTAGTCACTTTTTGGTTACAGTGTACTAAAGGACAAAAATAAAACAAAGAGCCCTTCCAAGCCTGCGTGTGCGCACAAACCACACACTCCACACACAGGTTTGCCGTAGTTACCCTTACTCTCTCTAAATCTGTTTGTACCAACAAACCCAACAATATTACATGATGGCAGCGGTTGAAAACGGTATATAAGTGTCATTCCTTTACTTTTTTAATCATGGCTGAACACAAGATGGATGTTAACGTTCATCAGGCTGGAGAAACAACAGTTCATCACCGCGTGTCTCTACCCCCGCCGAAGCTCTTTGATGGGAAGGCAGTATCGTGGCCTCGTTGAAGATAACATTCTAACAGGTTTCGTTTGTGCATGGGTCTGCAGAACAAGTCACAGTCAGAGCAGGTCAGTACTCTACTGTACACTATGGGGGAGGTAACCGACGACATCCTCACGACTTTGTCAGTCGAGGAAAGCACCACTACATACACAGAAGTGATAGAGGCGTTTGATGCTCACTTTGATGCACGCAAGAATATCATTTTCGCTAGTGCAAAATTCAACAAACACACCCAGTTACCGGGAGAGAGTGTCGATATATTCATCCAAGACTTGCACAGGTTTGCAGATGACTGCAGCTATGGAGCCCTCAAAGATAAGCTCATAAAAGACAGAATAGTTGTCGGAGTAAAGGACGATGACCTGTCCAAACAGCTCCAATTGAAGCTCAAACTCACTCTCAGTGAGGCTATACAAATAAGCCGACAAGCTGAAGCACGAGATGAAAGCCAGACACTCCTACGACCTCGAGTTGAGCTAGTCACAACAAAACCACACAACATGCGTAGTGCGTCGATTGCTTCAAGGCCTCCACACAAACCACACACTCCACACACAGGTTCCAAGAGATCTTGTGGATACTGTGGTCACCTCCCTAGCCACAAACGAGACGCCTGCCCTGCCAAGTCTGCAGTCTGTGGTTCCTGTGGCAAGAGAGGCCACTATAAAGCAGTTTGCCGTAGTCACCCTAAAGTTCAGGAAGTCGCAGTCAACTCCTACCACTTAGCTGAGGTCCTAGACTTTTTAGGTTCCATCACTGTGAACGAAGTCGACAGCTCAGATGAGTGGTCTGCAATCATCAAGTTGAATTCCGTCCAAACAAAGTTCAAGCTTGATACTGGTGCTGCAGTCTATCTCATCGGAGACAGAAGGGTGGACATAAGTCAACCTCTCAATAGCTGCAGCAAAATTCTAAAAGGCCCTGGTGACACAACTCTGTCTACTCTTGGCACCTTTGAGGCTGATCTAAAGTTCACATAAAAAGCCATGAAAGAGACAATATTTGTTGTAAAAGACCAACCACATGCCCTACTCAGCAGGTCAGCTTGCGTAAAACTGGGTCTCATTGCCAAGGCTCAATACAGTCCACGAGACATCTCCTGATTTCAAGAAGGAGTTCACGGATGTCTTCAAAGGACTAGGACTACCGGTACTGAAAGACCCATACACGATCAAGGTACACTACAAGAGGCGCTGATCCTGAGTGCTTGTACACAGCACGAAAAGTCGCACACCCTGCCTGTCCTGCCAAAAGTCAAGACCAAAATTGACCGAATGCTGGCTGAAGGCGTGATCTCACCCGTAACTGAACCCACAGAATGGTGTTCCGGCATGGTTGTTGTGCCAAAGAGAAACGGCTCAGTTAGAATATGCGTGAACCTCACCAGTCTAAACAAGGCAGTGCGACAAGAAGTCCATCCTCTGGCCTCCATAGACGAACAGCTTACCAAGCTTGCAGGGTCTACAGTATTCACTAAGCTGGATGCGAGGAGTGGATTCTGGCAAATCCCTCTCGATCCAGACTCCAGAAGGTATATACTACCTTCATAACACCGTTTAGGAGATTCTGCTTGAACCGTCTTCCCTTCGACATATCCTCAGCTCCAGAAATCTTCCAAAGGAAAATGTGTAACATTCTGGACGACCTTCCAGGTGTCATTTGTCACATAGATGACATTCTAATTCATGCACCTGATCAGGACACTCACAATAAGCGAGTTAGACAAGTCCTGAAGCGTCTCAAGAGAGCTAAGATCACTCTAAGAGACAAGTGTGAATTTTCACAGCATCCATCAAGTTTCTCGGACACATCGTGAAGAACTCAGGCCTCAAGGCAGACCCAGCAAATTCGGAAGCCATTCGAAAAGTCCCTCAGCCCAAGAATGTCACTGAGTCACAATGCTTTCTGGGTGCGGTGAACCAGATGGCAAAATTTTCTCCTAACTTGGCTACTGCAACTTAACATTTGCGAGCATTGCTAAAAAAAGACACATTGTGGACCTGGGGAGAACATCAAGAGGCATCTTTTCAATGCACAAAAGATAGCCTCACCACAACACCTATACTGGCACACTACTCGCCTGACCGGGAGACTATCGTTGCTGCAGATGCTTCCATGTCTGGCCTCGGGGCAGTACTTCTACAGATACAAGATGATGGTTCTCGCAGACCTGTCAGCTACATCTCTCGAGCTCTGACAGATGCAGAAAAGAACTACGCAGTCATAAAAAAGGAGGCCCTTGCAGCAAAATGGGCATCAGAATGCTTCAGTGAATACATCCTTGGCAAGCAGTATACACTGGAGACTGATCACAAACCCTTGGTCTCTCTCCTCTCTACCAAGGAACTCCACAAAATGCCACCAAGGATCCAACAATTCCGTCTGAGGCTGGTGCGCTTTTCACCAAATGTGCTGCATGTTTCAGGAAAGCACAGATCACTGCGGACGCACTTTCTCGTGCTCCGACAAATATGCCATCAGATGCAGAATCACTCTTAGTTGATGAAGTGGCAGAATTCGGACAACAGGCTATGGACAGCCTCCCTACTTCACCACAGAGACTTCAAAATATCGTTTTACAGCAGAAGAGCAACCCAGAAACGTCAGACATTCGGGAATACTGTACTAGAGGCTGGCCAGCATACATGCCTGAAAATCCACTTCTGAAACAGTATTGGACTAATCGTCATCATTTCAGCATTGTGGATGATATCCTTTTGTTTGACGACCGACTTGTCATTCCACGGGATTTGAGAGGGACATTCAGAATCGACTCCACAAAAGCCATCTTGGCATAAAGAGGTGCCGAGCTCTAGCTCAAACTTGAGTCTGGTGGCCCAACATCACCCGTCAGATCGAGGACATGGTGAACAAGTGCAACACTTGTGCGAAACTTGGACCTGTCCAGAAGGAACCTCTGTTCCCTTCCTCGTTACCAGACCGACCTTGGTCTCGATCACTGGCCATGGATCTGTTTGACATAAAAGGTCAGACCTACATTGTCGTGGTCGACTATTACTCTCATTGGGTAGTGCTAAGCTTACTCGAAAAGCTCAACAGCGTATTCGATATCAAGTCCATCTTTGCCACTTATGGCATCCCAGAGGCAGTCGTGTCCGACAATGGCCCTCAGTTTTCAAGCGCCAGCTTCCAAGCTTTTGCAAAAGAGTTTGGTTTCATTCACATCACCAGCTCTCCAAGATATCCTCAGAGCAAAGGTGAGGCAGAAACAGCAGTGCAAACAGTGAAGCTTCTTCTAAAAAAAGCCAAAGATCCATACACTGCCCTCCTGTTATACAGGACTACTCCTTTACAAAACGGGTAAGCCCTAAGTGAGCTCCTCATGGGATGGTATCTCCAAACCAAAGTGTCCATTATGCAGGACAACTTACATCCAAGTTCTGTTGATCTACCCTCTATTCGTCAAAGGGAGGAGAAGAGGAAAGAGATCATGTGTTTGCAATACAACAAGAGACACGGTGTCAAATCTCTTCCAGAAATTTGTCCCGGTGATTCTGTCCACAATTGAGACCTAGACCGACCACGCATCGTTAACAACAGACACCCCAATCCGCACTCCTACACAGTGACCACTGAAAAAGGGAGCACCGTTTACCGCAATAGAAGTCATCTCCTGGCTACCCCAGAGCCCACTACAACACAAGAGCCCGGAGACAACACACCATCTTCGACACGGCAACCTGACACCCCAAGCCCTGCTCGGGAGTCGGCGCAAACGGCGGAGGCCCCAGCGGAGACACCATGTGTCAGCCGATACGGCAGAGAAATGAGAGTACCAACGAGACTAGATCTGTAACCCAGTGACTGTGTGACCTAATTTAGCTCTGTGCTCTAAATTCAAATCCAAGTCTCAAGAACTCTTTAATGACGTTGTGGCGACTAACCTTGTGTATTGTTATGTATAGTACGTGTATTGTTATGTCTAGTACGTGAGTTCATGAGTGAGAGTTCAGGAAAAGTTGCCAAGCTGTTCGAGTGAATGTACTGAAGTCATGTCTCGTCCTGGAAGGCCTTATGTGTGTGTATTTCTCTTCATGCTATAACAGGATTATACTCGCTGTCTTTCCATGCGTTCTAATAATTTGCTGAAAGAAAGGACATGTATGCTACAAAGTGTTGTGAACAAGTGAAACTTTTAGAGATCTATTTAAAGTAAATGATCAACCATAGGGACAATAACTTCGGGGGGGAGAGGTGGACTAATGTACATTACATAACACCTCTGTTGTAACTGTTGCGCAACGTATCGGGATTTAGACACTACCTTTCTTTTACTCAGTAGTCACTTTTCATTACAGTGTACTAAAGAACAAAAATAAAACAAAGAGCCCTTTCAAGCGTGCGTTTCTTCGCTCTCTCAAAATCTGTTTGTACCCACAAACCGAACAATATTACACTGAGAACACCAGGTTTAGAAAGTTCTGAGCCCAAGGTTCAAAAGCTCACTTTGTTCTTTGCTCTTTTGTCCAAAAACAGAACTAACGTTCACTGGACACTGCAAGTTAAATGACATTTATATGCCTTAGAAAGTGAAAGTCTTTTCCTTTCTATAACGGAAAAAATAAAGAACACATCAACCAAGTTCTTCAAGCAAACATCTACAAAACTGCAGCTATTCAAATCAGAGGCACAAAACTGTCAAAACAAAATTACAAAACCTGCATCCCTCCAAGCAGTTAGTTATAATCCCCAATCAGCATGGAAATTGTTTGTACTTGTACCCTTCAAGTAATGGAAGAAGCTGGGTACTATTCAGAAAATAGTAAGTATAATATAACATTATATTCCAACACACAGAGATTCTGTACAAATGCAGTTTGGAGGCACAGTTCTTTATATGGCAAGTCGATAACAAAAAACATAGCTTTTATTCAAAATGACAACATAGTATGTCAGGCTAGTCATAACAGGACATAGTGGAATACAGAATGTACTACAAAATATTCAATGATTGTCTAAACTGACCCATTTTAGGAGGTAAACAAACATTCTCATCGTCTAAGCACACAAATATCTGAGTAGAGATGTTGAGATTCACGCGCCCAGGACTGGTTGATGGGGACAGATTGATCCTGAATGTTGCTTTCTCGCTAGATGTAGGATTATCCTTTGTGAAACACAGCTTTCCCTTCCGCTCAGCAGGGTTCAGAGTCTCCAAAAACTTTTGACCTGTTTCATCTGTAATGGAAAAACAATAAAACATGTTCACTATTCTGTGAAACACAATTTACAACACAATGGGAATACATGTAGCTGAACTCATCAAGAATCAAAAAGCAATAAATATTGAACTATTTCAGTGCAAGACAAACAAATCAATAATAGGCATTCTCTGAAATTCAGCTGTGTTTATCTACAGTCTGGCACTGACACCATGCACACAGAAAACTCTAAATCACAGATAGCTCGTACAATTTGCCACTCCGCATCTGATATCTCTTTAATCTTTCTTTATCGGTTAAATCATATTATGGATATGTCAAACACATTTGTCAATCACCAACACTTCTGAGTTGTCCGTGCCTGACTGTATCTAGAAATCATGCCTTTAAACAACAGTACAGTATCTATGCTCCAATCACATCCAAAGGTCACTACAGCACAGACAGAAACATTTTCATGAGAAATAGTCAAGCTACTGAGGAAAGCTGAAAACCAAAATTGTAAAGGAAAAACTCTCTGAACATTTTTGTGAACAAATAGAAGATGTAAAATAATAAAAGCATGAAGAAGTTAACCCGTTTTAAAATTGGATACTTTTGAATAATCGATAATTAATAAATAGATTACACTTAATAGGTACCCAAGAAGAAATGTGCATTACAAGGGCACATACACATACATAAATCATATACATATTTAAATCTACAATACCAAATAGACAATATTACACCAATGCAAAACAATTTTACAAACACACCAGACTGTTGTATGTTGGTAACAGCATGTGCTAAAGTAGCCATCTGGGACAAATAAACGTGATGGCACAAAGAAAATCTCACCAAAAGCAGAGAGCTTCCATGCATTTGGCGCCTCCATGTTGATATGTTCTCCTGGTGACAATGCCAGTGGTACTGAAAGCACTACTTCCTTACCGCAAGCGGAGCAAGATATTTCTGGTAAAACTTCGTAATTTCCTTCTGGTTCCACAACTTTTTCACTTGGTGAATCTTTCGGGAAAACTATCGGAAGCTGCAAATAGAAGATGCATTGAATCTAATTAGTTAGATTCATGCTTTAAAAAGGGCCAAGATAGGAAGAAATATGGGAAATACAAATAAATATCAAGAAAAACAAAACCTTGAGCTCTAAGTCATTTGAGATTTTGTGGTTCTGTCAATAAGTAAACTATCAAACACTTACATAATCGGTACTTTTCAGACAAAACATTCAACGCATTGGAACTTCTTAGAATATGCTAACACATATTTTTGCAAAAATAAAAGCACACTGACACAATAACCAGTATTTATTGCTGGAAAAAGCAAGACTGATCTAAGTAACGGGAGGAAAGTTCAGTTTCTGAAAGCAAATGGCAGCAGGCAAATTCTTTTTTTTAATAGTTCCTTTATTTCTCTCAACCTTCTAGGTTTTCGCCCATACAAAATCCATGATCATATTAATGCATTTCCTTTTAACAGACCAAAAAAACATACAGATATCCACGCCTACTGATGGGGAAATAGTGTTGCACTTGCCTGAAATACCGTCCATTTTGTATAGTCTACAACTTTGATGGCATGATTGTTAGTGTCCGCCAAATAAATCAGCTGACGTTCCCTGTCCACAGACACGCCACCGGGCTCGTTAAATTCTGTTTTCTTCAGGTCAGAAGGGCTCACGGTTCCCCCAGCCTGTCCCGTTCCTGCCAGTGTCTCACACACGCTCGTAGCCAGGTCAACAATTTTAATCTGCAATATCACCAAAGAAATAGGGGGGAAAAATAAGTATTCTAAAACTTTTAATAAAATTTGTCTGCAAAAACAAAAAAAATCACTCAATGCTGCAATTGACATACATGTACGTAAGGCACCAGTAATAAAAGAAAAGACACAGCATATTTAACTTCTCTGAGTATCAATCTGTCTGTCAGTCTGATACTGTTGACCTTTAATTCAATAAATACATTCCAAAGATAAAAATAACTTCTCTTCATTCTCCAGAGTTAAGAAAACAAAACTTAAATTTCCAACACCAGGCAAAATTCTTATACTTGCATTTTTTGTACTTAAGTATGTGTGTGTGTGTGTGTGCGCACGTGTGTGTGTGTGCGCACGTGTGTATGTTTGCGTGTGTGTGTGTGTGTTTGTGTGTTAGGATAGCAGTGCAAGAGGATAGACTGTGAGAGCTTACGGATACAGTCCTCAATTAAGAAACTTTCATAAGAAAATGAACATAACATTTAAAACCATTTACATTACAACAATGTACTGAAAGGTTAGAAATATTTATCCAAATTTGCAGTACCGGAATTACTGGTCAAGAGTCATTTGACCCAACTTTGAAGAAGTGGAAGGCAGGTTCCACTCCATTGGGTTTAAGAATGAATCATTCAGTTGTGACAAATATATACAGCTGCACATAGAGTAGACAAAGTAATTATGTTCAAGTTACATCTCATCAGCCTGGGATGTGCATCCCCAGTTGGATGGACAGTAAACTAGTTTCTTCCCACAACCTGGATAAGACAAGCATTCTCTCACCTTATGATTGTATGAATCTGCAACTACAAGCGGTCCTTCATCTGCCAGTAATGCCACACCCAAAGGATGCTGAAGCTTTGCATTTGTACCTTTACCATCTTCATCTCCAAAGGCAAACAGATTCTGTATGAAGATGAACCAGATCAATGTTAGATACTGTGTTGATAAAAATGATAATACAGTGGAGTCCTCTTAAAGTGAACTCTTTGGGACCAGAAGAAAGTGTTCACTTTATCCGAGGTTCAGTTTAACCATTTGGAAGGGTGGACGCCTAGAAACAGTAGCTATGCGCAGTGGTGGGTCTAGGGTGGAGTTGGGGTGGGGGGACAACACAGCGGGCGAGCCTGGACTAGAGCTCTTTCTTTCTGATTGAGATTGCCTTCGCCAACGCCAAGCTGGGATTGTCTGCCGATACCCGAGGCAAAGAATTTTATTTTCACTGAATGGCAACAGTGATACGGTCGGTCCGTTCTTCGCTTTCACTCATTTTGGGCGTTCACTTTTTCCGATTTCCCCATGAAAAACCGGTTAATTTTATCCACTATTTTTTTACTTAAACAAATAGCGTTTCAATCGGGACCACAGAATATCGTTCACTTTAACCGATTGTTCAAATAAAGCGTGTTCACTTTAAGCGGACTCCACTGTAACAATAAATTGCATTTATATTTAAAAGAAATGCTAACCCCACCCAAGACAGTTGTGATCATCAACTGACACCGCTCAAGTAAGAATACCCTAACTAAAATCAAAGTCATTTGGAGAAAAACCTTTTGTATTTGCTGGCTGTAGAGCCTGGAAGAACGTCCAATAACAATTTAGAAACATAGAAAATACTGAGTCTCTTACAACCTATTTGAAAACACATCTTTTTATATCATGAATACTGTTTTTTGTGGGTCTGTTTTTTTTTCCTTTTCAGTCTGTGTATTTCACTGTACTTTAAATGATTACACAGCTCTCAGAGTTTGCTTCCTAATGGGATAAAACACCATATTGCTGTATCTCTTATTATTATTGTTATTATTATTATTATTATTATTATTATTATTATAATCATTATTGAAACAGTATCCAACATTGGCTAATGGGCTGTCAATATAATAATATAAATACAAAAGAACACAACAAAATATATGACACATTGAAATCTACAATGTAATACACACAGTAATACCGATTTTTTGAGTCAGTCAAGTCACTTCTGGTTCAGTAAAACTGTCTCTACTAATGTGTCTATTGCTGTGACAGTGACCAAGCTGTAGCAACAAGCATTGAAACAGAAGAGAATCCATCTATAATCTATAGCCATCACTCGAAACAAATTTAGTGGGAAAATTATTTTTCAATGTCATTATCAAAGGCCTGGTAATTTTGTTTGTTTTAGTGAGGTTTTATGGTGCTCACAACTGCATAAGGTCATATGAGCGCCAAGGTGTGGATGTCTTTACAGGGAATCAGGCTTACTCTGCTCACCTCTCTAGCTTCAACAGCACAAAGTCTGCTTCGACTGTCAAGGCATCCCGGAAATAGTGGGCCACAAGAGTGTGACAAACATTCAAAAGAAGTAGAGGAAATATGACAATAGTAAGGATTAGGAAAGAAAAAGCAGCAGTTCCCTGTTCTAGATCAGGCACAGTTATGAGCGAGACATTGATGAATCAGCCCATTTACAATTCTACTGTGCATGAATGAGAAAAGCCCCCCCTTTGGGAATGGCCTAAAGACACTACAGTCAGTGGCACTGCCCCGCGGGGTTGTAACACCTCTAATCTTCTGGCGCTCATATGACCTTATGCAGTTGCGAGCGCCATGAAACCTCTACTAAAACAAACAAAACATCAAAACACAGCACACAATTGAGTATTTTTCACACATATCAAAAGATTGCACACCACTTCATCTTTTTCACACACATCAAAACACTAAACACTCTTTGGTCATTTTTACACATATCAAAATGCAGCACACCATTTAGTTTTTTCCCCACACATCAAAAACACTACACATCATTTGGTCTTTTTCACACATATCACACACATCAAAACACTACACACCATTTGATCTTTTTCACACATATCACAGACATCAAAATACTACACACCATTGGGGGTTTTTTCACACATATCACACACATCAAAACGCAACACAACATTTTTTTTTTTAACACATACCACACACATCAAAGCGCAACACACAATTTGGTCTTTTAGATATTAATCACACACATCAAAAACAACACAAAGTTTAGGGGGGGTTTTTTACACATCAAAACACTACACACCGTTGGGTCTTTTTCCCCACCAACCAATCCAGACACTTTGCAAGAGGGCAGGCTTATTGTCCTGATGGAGGAGCTCTCACTGTCAGCCACATACAGGGTGCTGGTGGAGCCCTTGCTCCCTACAGCCAGTCCCGAGGGTTGAGCAAAGCTGGCTTTTTCAGGGTATGCATTATTTCTGTTCTCTTCTCTGCCAGAACCAGCAAAGCGAAGGCAGGTGCCTTTTGGGTAAGATCTAAGAAAAAAACGAGTAAATTAAAATGAAAAAAAGTTTAAAAAGCAAAGAAGGAGGAGGAGGAGGAGGAGGAGGAAGAAGAAGAAGAAAAAGAAGAAGAAGAAGAAGAAGAAGAAGAAGAAGAAGAAGAAGAAGAAGAAGAAGAAGAAGAAGAAGAAGAAGAAGAAGAAGAAGAAGAAGAAGAAAAAGAAGAAGAAGAAGAAGAAGAAGAAGAAGAAGAAGAAGAAGAAGAAGAAGAAGGAGAATTAAAAATTTTAAAAAAGCATTCACACACAAATTAAAACACCAACTTAAAAACAACAATGAGCCCACAAAGAGCAAAAAGAGAAGGAAAAATGTGCAAGTTCACCTCTTTTTGAACCATGGACCATCTGACAAGAAGTAAACCCACACTTGATGAATTCCAGACATGGCTACGAACAAAACTGGGACGTCTGAAAAAAAAAAGAAAAGAAAGATAAAACAGGGAAAACTGAGCAGGTGTCCAAATATGACAGGCTATTTATAACTTATATACAGTCTGTCCTCTTTAAGCAAAACCGAAGAAAGCAAAATCACCACATGCGAAATGAAATGTCTCCGCAAAACCACAATGTCCACAACTAATTTCCTGATTAGTAAAAGGGGGGAGGGGGGGCATGGGGGATTGGGGGATAAATAGGAGAAATAATGAAGATCAGGTCAAAGCCTAGCAGTTTGAAAAAACTAGCCTTACAATGGCTGAGCAATTGGTCAACTGTTACGACCACAGGAGCCAGGTACAAAAATATGAACAAACAAAGCTAAACAGACTGTGTGAGCAGCCTGAAAAGGGAGAACAACTCAACAATTTTTCCCCTCAGCACAAGACTTAATGGGACTTACCTGACCACAAGAATATGTAACAATTCAATATGAGAATGGCAATACAGAGTCAACTTTCGCAATATGTTTTATACATTTTGAAAACTGTAGTTACTTTAAAAAGTTTTCCTGTCATTTATGCCAATGTTACTGTAGGTCTTTATAGAGCTGACATTCCAAATACAGTCAAAATTGTCCAAGACACCCACCCTTTGTCAAGGAGAAAAGCAGTTGTCTTTGACTGGTGGATGTCTTGGACGGTGTCATTTTAATTAATTTTTTTTAAATGTAAGGGGGAAGTGGGAAGTGGTTGTTGGTACCGGTAATTGTCTCGGTCAGAAGGTGGTTAGAGTAGGCTTGGCTATAATCCCATGGGTTCAATAAAGCATTAATTGTATGATTATTGCACTTTATACCAACACAACTCTAATATGATGCATACACCCATTCATGTCTGATCGTATATGAAGCTCTCTCTGAGGCATGGAAAACATACTTTAGCTCTATGCTTGGCATAATCCTGAGGCAGTTAAATAATAAGCATGCATACTAAAAAAAAAAGAATTGTATGGTTTTTCCCTAGTAACCTCTAATTTTTAGCACTATAAATTTTATAAGATGACCTATTTGTGTTACAAGTGCAGTAAAACTCTAACTAAAACTAAACTAAGAGGTATATCACCATACTAAATTTTTAACATTATGAAAGTTATTTCAATGGCAGAGAACTCAATTACCCCCTGAAGGCACAAGAGAAAGAGGAAAAATATTATGCAAAGAAAGATGAAAACTTGTGCTCACTTGGGATTCTAATCACAAACAACTGAGTATCTATCAAGATCTCAATCAGGTGCTCCACAACAAATAATGTGAAGATAGTCAATGCAATAATTTACAATAGGTTGCTTAATGGTTTAGAATTCTTTTTAAAAAGTATTACAATAGGCCATGAAGTCATGAAGCCAGCACAATCTCAGAAGTGATGAAGAAAATTTAAAATACATCTAGCTCCATTTCCAACATTTCTAAACACAGAAATCACAAACCGTGACAATTTAATTTGTGCCTTGACAATTGATGCCACTTCCAGTTCATTCAACACAACAGACAGAGGAATAAAGACACTTACCACTACCCTCCAACTGTGGGTTACCAAGCTCCACATCCCACGGAGAGGACAGCTCTTGTTCAGTAGAGACTTTCCCTCCCTCATTGTCAAAACCTTGTCTGCCAGTGCCAGCAACTGTGACAACTGACTTGTCCACCAAACTGATGACCCGTAAGCAATGGTTCTCTGTGTCAGCAACGTAGATGTGATCCTTGTAGCCAACGAGTCCTTGAGGGGAGGAGAATTCGGCCTCTGACCAGTTGCCATCTTTAAAGCCACGCTGACCACTCCCAACAGCTGCCTGTAAGCAGGAAGACAGATCAAACATAACATGCAAAAGGATACTTCTACCAAATGGGCACATTTTTATGCAACTTACAAATATAGGTACCAAACAGGGCACAGGACAAAAAAATATACAATCAAAGAGGGGTGTACATTGCATTAGGTAAGACTCCATATTAGAACAATGAAAATGTATGAAATGAAAAACAACCCACACACATGCTGGGATGTCCAAATAGAACTTTTATGCAACATAAAAACTTTTTTGTGTTGATACTCAGTTGCACTATCAGTATAGCTTTCTTTTGTCAAGAATGTAATTTAGTTTTCAGGCATTTCCATGCAACGCTGTCACTTACAAACTAGAGCCCACTTTCCTAAGCTCTCCTCATGTATTTCCTTCAGTACCTATTGGCTCGGCCACCCAACCCAAAAGTTATGAATAAACAAATGAGAAAGAAGAAAAACCAGCACAGAAATCCCTGCTCATCCTTGCTCAAACCTGCTTTATATTAATTATTATTTACAATAATTACATTTACATGGCCCATAACCATGCTCTACAGCAAGTTCTATGTATTTTACAACTATTATTACCCCAGCAGACCTTAGAGCAGGACTCAGAAACATTCTCAGCCAACCAGGAAGCATGCGGTGCAGGCAGCTAAAAAAACGCTCAAACACTAACAAACTGGCTTTCCAACCCTGGATCAAAACATTCTCTTACCATTAACATCACCTTTAAGCTAATACTATGAAATGTCATCCTCCTCCCTCACAGAATCATGCCAGAGTCTGCCACCGTACCTGCACAATCCCATTGACGTCTGTGATGAGGATCCTGTGGTTGCCACTGTCAGCAATAAGCAGCCACTGCCGCTCAGCCCAGAAACTCACTTTTCCCGGAAAACTGAGATCAAAGTGCTGACCCTTGTCAGACTCAAGGCTGATGGGAAGGCTTGACGGTCGTAACTGACCCCCAGAAGAGAAAAAATCCACTGCCACTGCCAAGAATTCTAGCACTCTTTCCCTGCCACCTTCTCCGGCCACACTGTACAACAGTTCACCGTTCGGTCCAATGAAGAGTAAAGTAGGCCAGCAAGAAACAGCCAAAGTCTGAGGAAAAATATATTCTCTATGAGATTTTCAAAATGCAACTACTGCTAAAACTTCCAAAATGAGTCAATACACGAATTTCTGAAAATCAGGTCACTTTTTTTTCCTTTTTTTTTTTTGTAAGTGTTTTATGGCGCCGCCACTGCATAAGGTCATATGAGAGCGCAGGGGAATAACACATTTTTCAGCTGGTAGGAAATTTTGAATTTTGCCCGGGTGGCGGCTGAAGCCTACTCTTATCGATGTTGGATCACCAAGGGATCTTTAACGAGCACAACTTGCACATGGGACCTCCGAGATTTTTTGCCCTTGTCCAAGAACGCTAGGTGTACATCTTTCCTACCAGAAGATCAGGGGTGTGGCTGAAAGACAGAAGTAAGAAGGAGCTAAGGAGTTGCAGTAGACGGGCTGCAGAAAGAGTCAGGAGCCCAGAGGAGGGGGCAAAGGCGGTGAGAGGGAGGGGGCAGAAAGTGGAGCCGAAAGCAGACAACAGCACATTCCTCGAGAGCAGGAAAGGAAGTGAAAGGCGACAATTTTAAAGAAGAAAAATTTCTGTCGCTATCCGGATTCGAACCTGAGACCTATTCAATGAGAGACAAACACCTTAACCTCTAGGCTATGAGAGTACCCTCAGTTCACTTTGAGCCACAACCTATACAGAAGAATGATCATTGCAATAAATTATCCCCTAGTGAGAGACACTGTAGGCTCTATCTATTTCTGAAAGGGAACTTCTATGTAACAACTATTCTTACAATTGGGTTTTAAATTGTAAGAAATGGAGGAGTGTATTTGGGCTTGAATAGCATGTGTACATGTTCACCATTATAAAATAATTTCACTGTGGAAACATGTAAACTTAGCGGAGGGGGGTTCTGTTCAATATAGAAATAACAAACCTTCATATGAAAATAAGTAAACAAAAGCTGAACAATACAAATGCAAAAAAACACAAAAACAAAACAAAAAACCAACCCAAAATATAACTGACATGTCAATAAGACCAACTGAGCTCTCTACATTTGACATCTGAACTGAATTCAAACAATAACAACCATAGCGAAATCTTGGATACTGGGAAGACAAAAAATTTTATCTCAAATGCTTAAAAGAAAATATATTTGAAATCAACAGGAACCCACCGTCCACAGCGTGGCATCTTTGTCATTTACCACCGGATGTTTAATCCCGTATCGTAGAACTGCACTTGTGATGTTGGCAGTCACCTTTTCGTTGAGGAATTTGGCAGAATGAACACCTACGACAGCAACGCCAGAGCCTAGGGGATACACTTCCTCCACAGCCTCAAGGTCTGGGAGAATGTGCATACAGTTTATACAGCAATAGGTGAAGAAGTCGAGCACAACTATCTGTCCTTTCAGTTGTTTTGAAAAACTAAGTGGCTCCGAAACATTCAACCAGTCCAGACCTGGAACAAAAAAGAGCAACCATCATTAAAAAAAACAAATTAATCCAGTAGTACAATCAAATGGGGAAATTGAATACATCCACCAAAAAGGCAAACAAAAATCTATATAAAAGAAGGATGGAAGACAATTATGCTGTAAAAGTAAAAGACCCACAATTCTCACCCCCACCCCCGTGTGAGCATGAGGCAAGCCTTAATGTTCTTAAAATTAGGCTAGATCTAGATCTAGATTAAATCTATAATTGTGAGGACCAATAGGTATCAGCTGCATTCTGCTCTTGACATTTCGTTCTTGCATAACCATAGATCTAGACCTAGACTAGATTTCTAGTCTCGACCTAGACTCTAGATCTAGATCTAGGCTAGATCGGTTGTACCGTAGTTTGGTGGGTTTTTTGTGTGTGCTCTTTTTTTTTTCCACTGTTTGTTGTTCATGGTGTGGAATGGCCTTCATCCAGCCCATTAAATAAACTAAACCTGAAACTTATCTCTACAACTTAGGCCTACTGTATGTTAGCACACCTGAGGGGGTGAGAATAGCGAGACATAGATCTAGAGCCATAGGCTTACCACTTCCTAAATATATTATTGCTTTGAATGAGAATGGTAAATAAAATAATTGGCTGTATCAGCATGACTTGGGGATCCATTTACCATTTTCGAAATCGGGTATTTTAAACCCAATTCTTGACATCTGTTGCAGATGTTTCGTAATCTTTTTCTTGCGGGAGTCAGGAGTGGATTCTGCGGTGAGTTCATCATCAAAATCAGCGATAACACCAAGAACATCATACACATTTGTAGCAGAAGACATTTTGTATTGTGTCGCTTCCGCGTATTATCGGAATAGTGTACTGTACAGGGTACCAAATATGTTTTCTTTGAGTTCGAGTGCGTTCATTTTTATAGCGCGATTCCGTACATATTTTCCTGAGAGAACGGCAATAATCTTTCTAAGAAGAGCTCAATTTTGTATGATCATATATTAAATATAAATCAAAAAATGTAAACCAACGTTTTAGCCGAGTTTTTCTTCTCATGAATCCCTTAATAATTAACAATTTCAAAGGACACATACGCCAAAAGGATAGTTGTTGCTTCCTTCGCAAGTAAGAAAAGAATGCTTCAAAATAATATTAATTCACACATTGGTTTATGTTTTCTTAGGGTCTTTTTCCATGTTCCAGAGACCGTCATCTTTTTTTTTTTTAAATACAGCTCTATATCTGCGCAAACATCCACCTCTTTTTCTCTCTCTCTCTCTCTCTCT